AGCTTTTTTCAGGTGGAACAAATATTTTAGAACAAATCATTTGCCTCACCCCATGAACGAATTACAGACTCTTTAGAGTCGAGTAACTGATATTTACAGAATGTTACCGTTATAGCACCCAGCCTATTAAAGCCGACTGCTGAACATAGGCCTCCCCCTAGACATGCGCGCCGCGCCGGCGCCGCCGCGCCACGCCGCGCCCTGCCCACGCCGCGCCGCGCCGACAAATCCGATCGGCGCGCCGTGAACCAACGCGGGACGGGCGCGTGGGCGCGGGGTCAATAAAACCATGCAATTATTTAAAAATTCAAAAATCAATAAAAAAATGTAAAAAGATCGTAAAAATCGTTCGGTATCGCTAACCGGAATTGAAGCGAGCGGCGGAAATAGAACAAATTAAATTTTTACAGTCTCTGGAGCGCGTATCAGAACTTTCAGTATGTATATAAAAAGTACTCTGTGATCAGAACATTTGCTACTAGCACGCCTAGTGAGCGCGTTTTTTCTATAGTGGGACTAACTGTGACTGCTAAAAGATCTAGACTAAGCCCAGTACATGTTAATAAAATTATTTTTATTAATGATAATTATACATTGTGCAAAAAACACAATTTTAATTTCCTATAGTTTGTGCAAGAAACAAAAAAATGTGCTTTTTCGTTTTTGCACAAATTATAAGGTATAATTAATTAGAACTTGTTTGGTTTGTTTTTATTTTGAGAAATTAAATTTGAATTCCTATCCAGGTCTATGTTTCACTTGTTACTACCTTATTTTAAATAAATGGTTATAAAAATTAAAATAAAATACGGCCGCGCCGGCGCGGCGTCGCCACGCCGACCACAATGGGTCGGCGCGCCGCCGCCGCCGAATTCTTGCTCGGCGCGCATGTCTACCTCCCCCATAGATTACCTCATAGGGGGGATATTTGCCATAGTTGGCACGCTTGACAAGCGGGTTGGCGGCAGCCGCAGTTTATTTTTATTTTTAGTCGCTATTATGAAGACGCTGCTGCCCATCTCCTGGTTTGTTTCCCTCTGTCGCCTCTTACGACACCCACGGGACGATATTATTACGTGGTAGTGGAATTCTTAACCACCACTACACGGTCAATTTACATAATGTATATCACTATTTTTAATAAAACTATTTTTGTTTTTGTATAAGTACATTAAATTTTCATAAATATACCGTGAGGCCAATTTTAATATATTAATCTTATTCCCAGCCCACTCTGGATATGAATTCTGGATGTGTGGAAGTTTCTGGATGTCCCATAGCAGGAAAGATCCGCTGTATCCGCCACACTTGGCAGACTTACATTGGTCATCCTAAATCCAATTGTTCCTTCTCATTTGTATTGAACATGTTTTACCCGACTGCCCTAGGAGGGTAATGATTTTCGAGTATATGTATTGTATGTAAGTGCTTTTTGGCGCGCTCTGAAGCCTGAACCGCTAAACGGATTTTAACATATAGGGTCGTTATATGTCCTAGTTGTGGAAGTGACATAGGGTATAAGAAATTTCTCTCTTCCATAAACTTGTTTACGCAGTCAGGTTTTTCAAATTACTGTTTTAACCATTGACTTTGTTAACCGTGTAGTGGCGGTGTAAGACCGGTATCATGAGAGAAGCGTTGTAATAATGACAAAATCACCCCTACCAAGCAATGGACTGGAAGAGTGGATTTTCACAGGCTGTAACGGAGGGATAGATTGAGCAGATTTTCTCAGTTGTAAGAGCACAGTTTTTTTAAGCTCCACTGCTGGAAATGAACCTCTCTCGTTGCAAAGAGAATTTATCTTAACCGTCACGGTTACCAGGTGGATTGACCATTGCAGCACCAGACATCTCGAATTTTACGTCTGGGGTAAACAAGAATAACGAGATGATTATAGCGCCGTCTATCGGAACCAATTATATTTTCCTCTCTTACGACATTTCCTGGTCTTAATTGATCGTTGCTCCGCGGTTAAAATCTGCTAGCTACATATCATTATTGAACGAATGAATAGAATATAATATTTTTATTCAATGTACCTAGACTTAATATACCGGGAAATTGTGACACATCTTCTATTCAGGTATACCTCGAACTTGAAAACGAGACTGTACAACCAGTGCGTGTTGCCTACCTATGGAACTGAGACGTGGTCACGTATAATAGAAATCTTATTTACGGTGTAAAAAGGCGAAAAGGCTGGAATTAGGGGCATTTTTTTTTTTTTTTCATTTATTTATAGAACCACAAACAGATTCACAATTAAATATATATAAAATATCAAAACAAAGAAACGTAATTATCATTATGAATCCAACAGCGCTGGTCTCATTATACATATAATCTAGTGTTAAAGTGGAGCTCATCTTACATTATAACAAGTGTTAGTTAACTAGTTAAGAAATCATAAAGTAACTAATAAACATTATTAATAGGTACATGTGTGTATATGTGTTATGTATGTGTGTGTGTGTGTGTGTGTGTGTGTGTGTGTGTGTGTGTGTGTGTGTGTGTGTGTGTGTGTGCATGCGTGTGCGTGCGTGTGTGTGCGTGCGTGCGTGTGTGTGCGTGCGTGTGTGTGTGTGCGTGTGCGCGTGTGCGTGTGCGCGCGCGCGCCTGTGTGTGTATATGTGTGTGGTTTATGTGTGTGTGTAAGAGTGGAGTTAGGTGTGTAGGGACATGTTTGGCTGGTACATGAATCTACAACCAGGTATGCAATATACAGGAAGAAAATAAAATCATTTTTTGGGCATGGCTGGTATTAGGGGCATCCGCCCTATTACACGACATTGATACCCGAATTAAAATAAAACAATATTAAATTTGAAGAGTATTTTCGGATGAATTAACATTTATTTTGGAGAACAAGGAGGTGATGGCGATAGGCCTGTAGTTGCACGGGTCTTTTCTGTGAGAGCGTGGTCCTTCCCCGGTCGAACCGACCTATTCGTACTACAATCATAGCATTGCTCAACCACGTAAAAAATCCTTTCCATGAAAAAAGATATTATTAGCAGTTTTCAGTTTTATTATTGTCTCGCTTTAACCTTTTAAAATTAAAATTATATTTAAAATAAAAATTATATGAAAATAGGTACTAAAAAATTGCAACAATCTGATTTTAGTTGCAAACAAAGTGATAAGAAGGCATGTGAGGTGAATTAAATAGTTATTCAGATAACAAACACCGACTCGTTTTAACTGTATTATCAGTGATAATTTTAATGGCTTAATCTTTGTATATAAGTAGGTACCAAGTTTTGCTTAGAAATCAATCACATAGAATATACAATCAAAAAAAAAATGTATATTCATTTCACGAATATTTATTTTAGTTTTTAGCTCATTAGATTACTTATAAATCAAATAATTTAAAACACATTGAAGTCGGGGTGTAAACGAAAACATGGAGTTCCGTAATCACGCGATAAAGTCTGAACTAAAAATCTCGACACTTGTGAAAAATAGAGTAAAGCAACTACTTAGTGACCCACCTATAATACCCTTTAAGAGGTATAGCTACAATATTTCATGCCTTAATTAGCAATGGAACGACCTTGGAAAACTTCTTTTTCCTATGCCTATGCATGATACCATATAGGTAAATGTTATAACGTCTCGAAAGTTATTCGGCTGTAATATTTTGCACAAAAATAACAGCATGTATCACAAAATACAATAATACAGTTTTAATTATCAGTAACATGCCGCCAAATGCCAACTGAGAAATCAAAACAAACAGCGCAAGCCGGTCGCCGCGGCCGCGAAGTTGACCGCACTATCCTGCGATTCACGACTTATGGCGATCGATAAAAACAATGAAAACAGACGAGTCTCGCCACAAACCAACAAGTCTCTTCACGCTTTTCAGTTTACACGATAAAGAAATATCCAAAATATTGCGAAACATGCTTGTTAATTTGACATCAACTATGAAAAGTGGCAATAACCTTTCCAAGATGAATCCAATAAGATTCGTATTCATTCATGCAGAAAATCTTTAACATAATATTATAAATAGAATTCACACCACCTACCAAATGCAAAACGGTGTTCACCACCTCCCGATTGGTCACCTGTCCGACTTCAATCAAGCCGATAAGAACTGCAAATTTCAGGCTATCGTTCGTCGTCATCCTGACGACCTCCTCTGGTCTCTTGATTTCACTAAAAGGCGGAGATTTTAAGTCCGCCATGGTTAATTATGTCACAATTCACTTAAACACTTTTTTTTAAATCCACTCACGGCGAAAAATTTAAGAAAACATTATTTCATCGGCTCACATGATAACGCACCAATGTCGCTTTCTACCATTTTGGAATTACAGAATGTTGCCATGTTAAGATATTCATGTGAGTTTTTCCCAATCAATCAATATTGATATTTAGGGAACTGCAAATACGTTAACCTAAAATTTTGTAATTATTTTTTGATAATATAATACGTCTGTGACCTTTAATTATCTACTACGTGTATGAGAATCTATCAATGCTATTACAAATGAAGATGTATTTTTGGAATATACTTGAAAAGAATAATAATGGTGTGAATAAAAATTTTACTTATTGCATATTTTTTTAAACATTTTTGGTTGTATTTAAAAGTTTTCCTTATATTTTTAAGTAAATATAATGTCTGCTAATATTACCTACAATTTGAGGTAAAAAAAATGGATAGCAAAACTGGAAACATGCTACCAATATAGACAAATTATAATGTCACTTTGTATCTGTATTCTGTAGTTAGGATGGACATCAGTTGTATTTATATTTGCAGTGTAAAATTAACTTGCTTTTGCGATTTAAGCAGTTTTTACAAAAGTTTAAATTTTATTTTAATAAAGAAAGTAAATTAGAAAAATAAAAAGTTTGTATAATTTCACGTTTGTAATGTTGTTTCACTTGCTGTATGAAGTTAGTGTAATCGAGGAGTGGCGGAGCAACTCTTGTTATCTGTACAAACTTCAATTTGCGTTAGTCAGAGTGAGTGAAAGAACATGGCGGCGATTGACGTAGAACCTCCTAAAGTAAGTTTTAATTTTATTGCTATAATGTAGTTCAAATAATTTTAATCTACTCCACGAAATATCACATTTTCTTTGAGTATTTATATTAGTAAGTCTCTTTATGTTATGAATAAATGCTTTGTGTATATTTACAAAAATATTTAAAACACCGTTTGGGTTTAGACTTCAGAAAAAAAACAATCTGAGGTTTGGGTTTGGGCGTTCTGTTTGTTTAGTACTTTACGTTTAATGAAAAAAATAACGGCGAACACTTATTTCAATATGCAGTAATCATAAATTAACACGTCAATATTTAAACCTAATGGAAATACTTAAACGATACATTTCCGCAATCAAGTTGGGTATTAATTTTAGGCGGAGACAACAATGCGAACCTTGAAGTTGTCGGGGCATGTCGGTTTCGACAGCCTGCCCGATCAGCTTGTGAATAAGAGTGTGCAGAATGGGTTTGTCTTCAACATCCTTTGCATTGGTAAGCTATGATTCATTGGGTAGGTACCAATTGTTTAATCACTTGTACAGCGACTTATCATTAAAACGCTTTGATATTTTAACATTTATATACTCACCGCCAAATGAAAGAAAGGAAGAAAGACGAATGACTTGGTAAGATAAGCAGCAAGTTGATGAATGAAGGATGCAGGTTCTATGTTCAGTTTTGGCTTGTGAAGTGCTATTTTGATGATGGTACTCACGGATGTACGTCAGTCTGGCGATATTGAGTGTACGTAATAAAAGTGTTATATTTACTTTTTGTGTAGCATTCTTATATTTTTCTCTATATTAATTTTCTTTTAGGTGAGACTGGTTTGGGGAAATCGACGCTTATGGATTCCTTGTTCAACACCAATTTTGAGTCTTCTCCTAGTCCACACAACCTGCCAACGGTTAAACTCAAAGCCCACACATATGAACTGCAGGAAAGCAGTGTCAGATTGAAGGTAAACAATATTCATAAGTCAAGTTTTTTACAAAATATAAGCCAATAATTTATTACGATCCCACCTGGGGGCAGGTGCCGGGTAGCCCTAAATGATAAACCACACTGTTTTATGCCTGATTCCTACACTCAAGAAATGTTTCATTCCCTGTATTGATTTTTTTTATTACGGAAGAGATGCATGTAATAACAGTTTAAATTACAGTCTATTCATTCAGCGACTTAGGAAGACTTAAAATGAAAAAACTTTGAACATGGTACATAAATAGTTGAACTGGTATTTGGTAAAAAAAGGGATTTTCATGCTGCATTCTTAATTTACTTCAAAACACCTCTTTAAAGGAAAACCTGGCATTACTGTATCATAAGCCTATTCACTCTTAATATTATTTATGGTTGCTTAGGATAACCTGTAATGGGTTATATCAGCATTTTATACAGAAATACCATGTGCTTAGCAGTGATGGAAAATATGGTGAGGGACGCCTACAAGTTTGAGAAATTTTATATATTATCAGGATACTTGAAGATCACCAAAATTCATTGGGTTAGGGCTGAAAACATTTCTAAATGAGAGAATTTTGTTGGCTGCTACTTCGCTTTTTAACCCTCGATGCAAAAACAGGGGTGTTATAAGTTTGACATCTGTGTGTCTGTCTGTTTGTGGCACCGTAACTCTTAAATGGGTGAACCGATTTGGTTGCAGTTTTTCTTTTTAAATATAAAAGCAGGCTTTCTAGCAGTGGTTCTTTGACATGTTTTATCTTTTAACTCCTTTCCATCTGTAGCTCACTATTTGTGATACCGTGGGATATGGAGATCAAGTGAACAAAGAGGATAGCTTCAAAGCTGTGGTGGACTACATTGACGCCCAGTTTGAAGCATACCTACAGGAGGAATTGAAAATCAAGCGCTCTCTATCTGCATACCATGACAGTCGTCTGCATGTGTGTCTTTACTTCATTTGTCCTACAGGTAAGAAACAATTATTATTCTAGTACTTGTTAGTTATCCTTTTTGGTCTATTAGTCTGTCTATGTAAGGATGGGCGGTCCTTACTTTTGACTGTTTCTGTTGATAGTAATTTATTTTTGTATTATTTATTTACTTCATTACATTACTGACATAATATGTTACAACAATATAACTTTTGATAGTATAAAATCTAGGACATAATGTGCAATCACTTAAAGGAAATCATCACTTACAAAATAAAACACTAACATAAACTAATGTGACAATAAATTACTTATTACTAGATATATCTTGAAATGGTTTTTTTTTTATTTATTTATATTATTTGGTTGGTTGTCATACAGAAAAAAGCCATTTGTGCCATACACAAAAGACGAAGTGACTCATTTGGAGATATTTTTAAACAATTTAATATCTTAACCATTGCTTCACATTTCATACCAGATAATATTATTTATGTACTATATTAATACCTTTGATGATATGAATGAAGTCCGTAACTTTAATATGCATAATAAATAATCTTGCTGTTCCAATGTGCAGGCTCCATAAAACTAGTGACTTATTTTTAGGTATATGTATAACATTTCATAACAATTTATTTCCTACTTACAAGAGACGTTAAATGTTTTAATGTAGAGTCATTCAATTGGGCCAAACAGAGCTATCTAAAGAGTTCCATTAGAGGGGAAGCAGATTGTGGCACCCAATTGTGGCTTACAAAAGACGTTAAATATGTTTTAATGTAGAGTCATTCAATTGGGCCAAACAGAGCTATCTAAAGAGTTCCATTAGAGAGGAAGCAGATTGTGGCACCCAATTATGTTTTACAAGAGACGTTAAAAATGTTTTAATGTAGAGTCATTCAATTGGGCCAAACAGAGCTATCTAAAGAGTTCCATTAGAGGAGAAGCAGATTGTGGCACCCAATTGTGGCTTACAAGAGACGTTAAATATGTTTTAATGTAGAGTCATTCAATTGGGCCAAACAGAGCTATCTAAAGAGTTCCATTAGAGGGGAAGCAGATTGTGGCACCCAATTGTGGCTTACAAGAGACGTTAAATATGTTTTAATGTAGAGTCATTCAATTGGGCCAAACAGAGCTATCTAAAGAGTTCCATTTATTCATATTTATTATGTAATATCAAGTTGTAACAAGGTCTCCTGCAGTAGGAATTTGTGAAACAAGGGTGTAGCTTTATGACTTTCCAAAAGTGCTTCGTAAAGGCTCAATTTTGAATAAAGAACATTTTGTTTTTGATTTTAAAATACACATTAGGTTTTGTGTGGTCACTTTTGTTATAAAAATTGCACATTCTAGAGTTTGCTCACTGTAATTTTCCAGTTTGCAAACAGCTTGCGTTCGATATACACTAGCACACAGCAGAAATTGTTAATTGCAATTTTAAGTGCCGATTTCATTATCTATACAAATAAATAAAATTGAAGTGTCCGTTTGTAATGTCAAAATTACAGTTTTTTACTAAATGCATATGAAAGTAAATACGGTACCTATAACTAAAATACAATTTTTAAAATTTTTGTCTGTCTGTCTGTCTGTCTGTCTGTCTGTTTGTTCCGGGTAATCTCCGAAACGGCTGGACCGATTTTGACGGGACTTTCACTGGCAGATAGCTGATTTCATAAGGAGTAACTTAGGCTACTTTCATTTTAGAAAAAGAATTAGGGTTCCGCGCAAAAATATAAAAACCCTAACACGCGAACGAAGTCGCGGGGAACAGCTAGTTAGAAATAAAAACGGTATGTGGAGTCCGTCATCACTGCAACCGACTCGGAAATGAAAAATGGGCTGTGCTGAGCAGTTGTTCATATACGAGTACATTCTCGACCTAACTAAGAAAAATAATTTAAAATTAAAAATTTTGTACAGCCGACTTCAATATAAGTTATTTAAGAATAACTTAAAAACTATTGGTCTGACCTTGATCAAATTCATATGGGACCACACGAGAAGTACCAGCTTTCAAATAAAAAAAGAATCATCGAAATCGGTTCACCCAGAAAAAAGTTCTGAGGTAACACACATAAAAAAAAAAAACGAAAAAAAAAAAACATACAGTCGAATTGAGTACCGGCTCCTTTTTGGAAGTCGGCAGAAAAAGAACATGAATTAAAAAAAAATTGTTTTATTTTTCTACATATTCTCCCCTTGTTTCAATACACTTATTCAATCTATGCTCCAGCGCTACTATGCCGCTCTTATAGACCGATTTTTCCAATACTTCAAAAAACCATTCGACCTTAGCTATCACTTCTTGGTTTGTGGAAAAGTTTCTTTCCGCAGGCTGTTTTTTTTTTTTCAATTTAGTAACTAAGTCAGGCGAATATGGTTGATGTTTTAATACTTCGATACGAAGTTCAAGGTGCTTAGTCATTCCAACAACTAACTTGTGCGCCGGTGAATTATCCTAATGAAGAAGGTTTATTTTTTTTTGTCCAATCCCGGCCGCTATTCACGAATTTTGTCGGCTAATTTTTGAATCAGGTTAGCATAGTATAGGCCTGTTATAGTCTGTCCTTTGGGAATGTAGTAAGGTGCTTTGGGGTTATTACGAAAATGGGGGAATTCCTTACAAATTACGGCTTAATTAGGCAATATTTTTTGTTCTGGTCACTTTATTCTAAAAGACATTTTATTTGTCTCCCTCGCTTCAGTCGTTTCAGGTAGCTAGTCTCAATAGTGCGCGTGCAAAGTTAACTTTTCGGTGGAAACAGCTTTTTTAGCTCTTTTCGGTTTTTCGGAATTACCCCGCGTTATTTATCTTAGGAATTTGCTACGTAATCTTAATGATTGTTTGATTCTATGATAGGTAATCGTTTTTAAAGCTTTATTTTATAGGTTAGGATTAGCCAGCTATGGTTTTTGTGTTTTTTTCGGAAATGCCCCACAGGTTTAATTACGAATTGACTGTCGAATTACTTTTTCATTGTAGTTTCCAGTGGCTGTCAATCTTTCGTCAACATAAATTGTTATTTTGGATAAGTTTAACACGTTCGCGAATTTAACCAACGGCAGTGGGCAAGGCGTACCTACCGCAATGCCAAATATTTATACATTGTCCAGAAGGAATAGGTGCATGAGTACCGAAGTCTGTACCACATCAATTTTTTTATGCGATTCCCTTCAAATTGTCGTAGGTACTGATGATATCAATGCATGTTGCCATGGCAACTCGGTGCCGTAGGTATTCTTTAAACTTGAATTATTATTTTCAAACGAGACTATTATTTTTATATTCTTCGATAAAATACGAATAAAAAAATTCCCGTAACTTTTTACGATAAACTTAATATCTTCTATGAATTGTTAAAGGTTTGAAAAACCCCGATTTTGGATACTTTTGACCCATTAGAAATGCATAAAGAAAAACAATAAAGTATGAACCATATTTTTTTAATATTTCTTGGTAAATTATAAATACAAAAGGTCCTATGACGTTTTACGATAAAGGTAATATTTTCGCAGTTATGACTTTTTAAAGGTTTGAAAAATCCCGATTTCAGATACTTTGACTCATTAAAAATATATAAAGAACTGTATAAATAAATATTTTTTTATTCTCGCTTACCTGTTATAAAAGTTTGAACAAACCTCTTTAACTAGCCTAATAACTTTCCAACTACGGGAACGTAAGGTGCGCTGCCGTGGTGGTGCCTTAAATGTTTAGAACCACTGGACTTTATGTGGGGTAATTCCGAAAATTCAAGTGAGCAAAATATAGTTAAATTAGAAACATAAAGTATGCATCAATGCTTTTTGTAGAGGGGTATAGACGAACGAAAAGGAAATCTAAATCTTCTGTCGAAAGTCAAAAAGGAACACTTTAAAAAAAAATCTGTTTTACCCCGCGCTATATCGGAATTACACCTTATCGAGAAGAAAAATATGTCAAATTGTAAATGTATTTTATTTGTATTGTATTTACGCAACGCAAAGACATTTTATTAAGATGAATAACAAAATAATTAGGATATGTATTTCAATAGATAAAAGTGACATGAGTTAGTTGTAAACTTAGATAGATTTTTTTAAAATAATTATCAAATATGCATCGTATCAACTAATCAGAAAATATGTCGTATTTACCCCAAAGCACCTTTAATAAAAATAATTCCCTTGTAATCCCAAAATTTCTACATTACTTACTTCTTACAAATTAATTTTATTACAGTTCATACACATTATACACTTAATTAATACAAGGTTATTAAACTGTATTTGTATCAATATTATTGCTGTGTAATAATTTGTTTTGTGAGTTTGATATTTGATTAGAATATTAATGTGCTTAACAATCTGTATCTAAATTTATTTTAATAAAATTTATGCACTCTTACAACTGCAACAATGTCAACTGTGACTGATAAATGACAAGATGCTTTGAGAATAATTTTCTAATGAGCATAACTATTATAAAATATAAATTGGATTGAAATATATTCAATATTAAAAAAATGTTTATCGTTTATAGTCCCGAAATTTGTCGATTCATTAAAATTCAACAGTAATACATACATACATATAATCACGGCTCTTTCACGAAGGGGCAGATACCACTTCTTTCCACTTGCTACGATCCTTACATACTTGTTTTGCTTAATTGCTCAACAGTAATTGCCCAAATATAAGAAGAATACGAAGATTCGTTTAGAATACTAAGGCCAGACTAAGTGCATATACAGGTGTTTGTTTACACTGGATAGGTTCAGTCATATTCTTGGCTTTGAGAAAGATTCTGCATTATTTTGTTAAGTTTCTAAACTGATATTTTTGATTTGATCATTTTCGTTTAGCATAATGTTTTCCTAGTTTCGGGAATTGTAAAATGAGATCAGCGCATCAAAATGGGATAATGAATTCTCTTACGCCGCGCTGCCACTTTACGGCTAATATGTTTTGCATAATCTCTATTAATAATTAGAACCCTGGTAGCTCAGGGGCTCAGCGCTCGCCGTAAACACAGTACATGAGCAATCC